GAGATGTCCAACCCCTATGCCGGCGCTGGCCACGGTGAGGGAAGAGACCACGTGCTTGATGCACGACGGGACTGCCATCGCGCCCTCGAGGCCGAGCTCACCTCCCGCTTGGTCAAGGTTGAGAACGCTTTGTCATCCATTTCAGCTGGATCATCAGGAAGCTCGGTGCACAGCGGCCCGTGACTCGATTGAAGAAGTCGCCGGTCAAGCCCACCAGGCATGCGAAGGCCTGGGCCTCCTGGAACTTTGCTGCCCCAAGGAGACGATGCCGATCCATGCAAGCTCTGGCCGCGCGGCTTCTCGAGGCCGCTGATGGCGTCGCCGATGGAGCTGAATTACCACCTCGTGAAGAGCAAAATGCCACACGATATTGGTGCTCGCGTGTCCTTGCACTGAACAAACTTCCAGTACTCGTGCGCCTTCAAGCTCACGACCAAGGAGGAGGCTGACCAGGTCTTGGCTTCCAGCAAGGGGCTCAAGATCACCTGGACCGACCCTCGCGACCAGAAGAGCCATGATGTGAGGATCGGCCGCGATCGCCCACTGCCCGTCCGCCAGAAAAGCTTCGTCTTGGGCCAGGCCTGCGCCCTGGTCAAGGCCGTCATCGTCGAGCAGAACGCTAGGCGTTCATCCATGACAATGGGTAGCATCCCTACTCAAGGACAGTTGTGCATGATTGTGAATAAGGAGGCTTGGGAGCTTGTTTCAGTGAAGACACTGGGGGCGGCAAGACTGTCGAGGTTGCTCCAAACTTGCCACACCTCGAACACTTCGGGGTCCCGACAGTGCAGGCCGAGAGCCTGGGGGAAAGGGCCCAGCTGAAGCTCGAGGGCGCGGAGTAGGACTGAGTGTAGTAGCTCGGGGCAGTGCTGCTGCTGCCCGCGTCCCTGGAAGGGGGCGGGGATGGCCTGCCCTCTGTGCCCGCTCGCAGTCCTAGGTCGAGCCCTCTCCAAATTCCCCGAGCTCTCAATGTCGCATCCTGGAATTCAAGAGCTCTGTTTGGGGGCGTTTTAGGTCGCCGTCGCAGGCAGTTTGGCCGTTCTCGGAAATTCGGCAAATTCATCGGAAAGCTCGACGTGGTTATGCGTCAGGAAGCTCACGGTACATCGAAATATCTTGAAACTCTACGACGGCTGCATCCCTCGTTCTCCCACATCGGCCCGCTCCACGCAGACGCGCGCACTGGGGGTGTGACGATCTCAACGAGGAAGACGTTGTTGACCATCTTCGTGGAGGTTGGCGTGCCGCGCGCTGTTCTTGAAGGCGGACGTCTTGGGATCAGGCCCCATGGGCCTTCTGGGGACATAATGAGCACGAGCGCAAGAATCAACCCCGACTCCAACAACAGGCTAAATTCAGTCTCATGGCCAGAGCTGCTCGTGCTCTCCCTCCTCCAGGGCTTTCTCTTTCGTGCGCGGGGGGAGATTGGGCTTTCCTGGATGCGAGTGGCAATCGGCGCCGCCTCGACTGACCCCCCCCCCCAGCGCCGAATACAAGGCCCTGGCCCAATTTGCCGGCAAGGTTTCCCGCAGTTTCTTGAAGTTCCCCAAGATGAGGGCCCGCATCGACCAGTAGTAGGAGATGCGATCGTGTCTTTGGTCAGACTCGACCGCGTGTACTTCAGCATCCACACTGCTGAGTTGCTGGACCAATGCCCGAAATCTGGAACCCTCGGGAATACGTTCGACTAGCCTGGGCCCTCGGATCATGCGCCGATTTTCGCGATGCTTACCCCTGAGCCCCGAGGCCCCTCATCGATCCCGTCTGTCTTACTGAACACCAGAGTTTGAGGAATGCGTTTGCGGATTTATGGAAGCAGCTTACCCACCTGGCAGTGCCCATCGAAAACTTTGGGCACTCAAGGATTGCCCCTTAGCGGCCCGCGGCAATATCACGGGGCACATGTTTCAGGAAGCACCTATCACCTCTAAGCAGAAGGTAGCTGTGTGTCTGAAGGCGATGAGCGGTCCGCGCGCGTCGCCGCCCTGTTGTCGCTGGGCGTCTTCGCCCTTTCCTTGAGCTTCAGGGCCTCATTGACGCCGAGACGCACGCGTTCACATATTACGGGGGTTTTCATCCATGTATGGGCTCGACCAGCGGCGGCTGAATCAATTTGGGGATTGGTGGGCTTCCAGGTGCGGGCCAAGAAGTTCATGGCCCTGGACGCGCGCTTCGCCTACGCCAGCTCCCCCGAGGATCGTCGCCCCGCCGGCGCCGCTGACGCTTCTTGGAGTTGCCCGCCCCCATCTGGGCGCGTCTGCGGCAGCCCTGTGGAGCGCGCGCAGGCACTCGCGGATCGCTGGAGAGGACCGCGCGCTGCTACTGACAGTTCCGACCCCGCCTGCGACTCCATTCTCGCTGACGAGATTTCCGAGGCTCGAGAAGTTTCTTTTGGCGTCTTCTGGAGTCTGGATTGTGGCGCGATTTGTGGCGTCATTGGCTCCAGACAGATTCGACCTGCGGCCCCGACGGGGCCCCCCTATGGCGCGCGTCAAAAGAGCGGAGTCATGGGCAGAGGGATTCTGCGCGAAGTGCGCGCCGGCCAGATGAAGTTCGGCTCTCTGCCCGGCGGCTTTAATCATGCTCAGCAAGTCTTTCGGCCGCAGGATGTTCCTCCAGGAGCCTTGGGCCGATCCCGTCGACGAGAGCCCGATCCATCACTCACTCGAACACTGACAACGAGAGTCCGGCAAGTTCCATTGGCTCCCCCTTCCAGGTCCAAGGGCAATGCGCTGTCTCAGGGGCCCAGCGAGGATTCGTTACAGGACGACGGGGTATTCTGGGCAACATTTTCTCGATCGAGGCAGCGCTGCCCCAGTTCGCCTGCCTGCGTCGTAGGTTGTCCGCGGGCAGGACTGCTGCCGATGGGCGTCCTTGGCCCGCGCCAGGATCTGCGAGGCGCCGAGTGCCAACCGAGTTCCTGCCCGCGTTTTGCATGCGGCTCAGCAGTTATATTCTGGAGCACGCGCCGACCTGCTCGGGGGGGGGGGGGGGGGGGGGGCGGCTTCCTGGCAATTGGATTTGGCGCGGGGTCAAACAAGGGCGCCCCTTTCCGTGGATTCTTCTGGCCATCGCCTTCGGCCCAGTGATTCGTTGGATGCAGAAATTTGCGAATGCATTCGCTGAGGGCGTTTCCGTGTGCTTGTTCCGATGGTGTAGGGGCGTCGCGCTCCAGCGTCGCCAGCGTTGCCCCTCTGCTCCTCGAATTCATGTGGCGGGTTGGCCACGGGGCTGTGGCTGAACAAGGGCATGACCATCCTAGTCTTTGTTCGCGAGTGCGCCGAGGCCGACGCCCGGGCAATGTTCCCCAACGCTGGAGTCGACGTATCAGGGACTTCTATTTCCAGATGTGGGCTTCATCTGGGTGACTGGATTGGGCCTGGAGGGCTTCTTCGGTCGCGGCCTGTCCGGGGCCAGAAATTCTCGAGCGTATTTGGTATATGGAGAGTCTCTGTATTGGGCCCACTCAAAGTCTGATTTGCTATAATTCATGTGGGTTCAGTGTCCTCAGCTATATCGTGCGTGTATTTCGGATATCTAAACCAATTCGGCAACTCCAGGACTCGGTGCTCTAGACGCTCACCTGTGCTCCACGGTGGGCGTTCAATTCCGACATGATTAGATATGTTGATCGGCTGGGAATTCCTGTTCGCGTTCGTCATCTGGAATGTACCAGCAGAGCCACCATGCATCGGGTTGCACTCAAACGCCGAGCTTTTTCATGAATGTATAAGTCAGCGCTGCCAGTCGGAGAACATAGGGGTCGAGCGACTGGCCGTTCCGAGACAGCGCGAATGGATGGAGTCCTCTGTCTGTTTCTCGCTTTTGCGCATGTAGGAGCCGGACGAACCTCTTCCCCGATATTGATGAGGACATCCACGACTTGCAGCGGAACGTATATATTGTAAGCTTTTCAAAGAGAGCCCCCCCTTCCATGTGCAACCTGCTTGTGCCGCGGGTGCCTTGCCTCATGTCTGACCACTTCCGTGATTTTCAACGGCACCAGGTTAGTCACGGAGTGCTTACCAGTGTCAAAACGGTTTGTAGAATGTGTTCTCTTTTTGGTTTTAGTCTTCTCTGGAGTGTGAATAACGCTTGCCCTGCCGCAGCTCCGTACCGCCAGGGTGTTATCAGCTGCATATATGAACGTGGCGCGATCTGTGATGATTATATTATGAATTTGTTTGTCGGTTTTTCCTGCATGGCACACTCATGTTAGTCGGTACGAGAGGCTCTTCTGTACATTCCCATGCCCCCCCCCCCCCACGTCCTCCACTGTTTTGCGCGGCTGCGTTTTGGTGCATGATATTATGCTTTCTGCTTTCGACACTCTGCGAAGCAAGGTTTCCTTTGGGCCTGGGAGGCTTGATGGGGCTTTTCTGTAGCAAAGCACGGGTTGTTGCCAAGAATGCTCCACCGCTCGCGAAGCGTTAGCCAGGCGTTCAGACACGAACGGGGGCCATCGTCATCATCATCACCACCGTCATCACCATCCTCATCATCATCATCGTGCTCGCCAGATGTGTGTTTTCCCGTTTCAGCTCCTTCGACAAGACGGGGCCCCTGTTGGCTATCATTAGCTACGCCTCCTGCGTCGCATCGGAGGGCTTAGGTCGACAAACGCACGTTTGCGTCAACACACGTTCTGAGGACCATCGACAAACACAGCGGCTCTCCAGTGCGCCCAGCGTGCGGGGGCACGGCGGCGGACAACGTACGCCTTTTCAGCGCAGAGTGTGGGCGCATTTGCACTTCGTGCGCGGCCGGTCTGGCCAGTGGTTGGACCACCGCGCCGCGGCCAGAGGCTGGGCCAGCGCGCCCCTCTTCCTCTTTCCAACCTCGCCTGCTATCGGTGTCCGCCGCGCGAGCCCTGCTTTCAAGCTAGATTGTCGCTTTGCCGCTCGTCGTGTGCGCCCACCGCTGGGCGGCGGCCGAGCTGACGAGCTGGCGCCAAACACGCCTTCTCCTCCGTTGTCCCCACCTCCTCACTCCTCTTCCGCAGTCGTTTTGGGTCAAGACTCAGGCCGCCCCTCCGCGGGGAGGTGCATGCGGCCTGTGCCCGAACCCTTGCGCCGCGCCAGCGGCGCGAGCCTGATGTTAGGGGGTGCGCCCCAGCGGGGCTCGCAGACGCCTGCGGGTGGCTACGCCGGCGGCCGCGACAGCAGCAGCAGCAGCAGCAGCAGCAGAAGCGGCATGGCAGTGCTCTCCAACGGCGTTTTCTGCGGCAGCAATGTGCGCCTGGGCGGGGGCCTCGCGGTCGTCGTGCCCAAGAGGACCTCCACGGGCAACTTTGCCTTCTGCGTGCGGCATGGTCACCTCCTCCAGATCGACGTCTCGGGGATCACAGACCTGATGGGCGCGGACAATCACCCGAACACTGAGTTCGAGGCCCAGGGAGTCGAGGGCGGCCAGGTGCAGCTGCGCGGACTCGCGTCGGGGCGGTGGCTCGCCATCGGTGACGGCGGCGGCTTCGCTAGCTCGGGCACGCCAGTGGCGCTGGACGTGACCCTCGACGGTGGCAGCGAGGTCGGCGCCGTGCTTCACGAGCAGAATGGCCGACACAGGGCGGCCCCAGCGCCGAGCGGCGCCAGCTCGCGGGACGGCGGCGGGCAGCGGCGGCCCTGGGCCGCGGCGGCGCCACGCGGCAGCTGGCAGCCGGCCTCTGGCGGGGCGGCTTGGGCTGGTTGGGGCGGCGAGAGGTGGCGGGGCGCGGGCGCGGATGACGCAGGGGCGGCTGCCGAGAGCAGCTCAGACCGCGGCTGCGCCAGCGCCGCCGCCGCTTGGCAGGCGGGCCCCGGCGGCCCTGCGTGGCAAGCGGGCGGGGGCTCCTGGGACGGGTGGGCCTGGCGTCGGGGCGACAGCGCCTGGGGCGAGCAGCCGCAGGGCGCTGGCGGCCCCTCGTGGGAAAGCGGCGGAGCCTCCTGGGGTGGCTCCTGGGACGATGGGGGCGCCTGGCCCCAGAGTGGCGGCGACGGCTCCTGGGCGGCGTCCCCTGCGACGACGGGCGGCGGCCCGTGGGACCACGGGGGCGCTTGGCCTCGGGGCGGCGGCTGGGGCGACTGGCCCGAGACCTGGGGCTACCAGGTCCCGTGTGTCACAGCTCACGATGACGTTGACTGCCAGCGCAGGCTGCCGCCGCCAGCGCAGGCGGACATGAACGTGGACTGCCGGCGCAGGCTGCCGCCACCAGATCCGGCAGCCGTGAGACTCGCCGGGGAGGCCGCGGGTGTCATCGACGTCGCGACGGTCCAGATGGTCACCACCAGCGATTTCATGGCCCAGGTCATGAAGCCCGGGGGTCTGCACGCCATGCTGGCGGCGCGTGTGAGCCCTTGGCACCTGTTCAAGAGGCTGCGGGCCGAGGAGGGGCCGGCAGCCAGCCAGCGGCCTGCGGCTGCCTGCACCGCGGCCAGCTGCGAGCCGCCGCTGCCTCCCCCGCCGCCTCCTCCCGACGGACCCCCGCCGGGCGCAGCCGTCGACGAGTGCCCCGACGGCGCATGCAAGGATGAACAGGACGAATGCTGACGGCTTGGCGCTTTTGACTGCAGGTCCAGCTCCCGCGGCGCCTTCCCCCCCCTGTGTTGCCACCGCTTTCAGAGCGAGGCGCAGGAAAACCAGGACGAGGATATCTTTCTGCGGATTGGCCGAATAATTGACGGGCCGACCGCCTGTCCACAGGGGTTGTCCGTATGCCCAGCATGGACCAAAATCGCAGAGCTGCATCTGAGGCCCAAGGCTCAGTCCTTATATCCTGGCTTCTCCACAGTTGGCTTCATGTTTCTTCACCTCCTCCCCTCCATACCCGGAAGCTGGCTACACGTATACCGTGGCCAGCTTGGGCGACAGCTGGATACGCATGTGGCCGTTGTTGTTCCTGCGCTCGACCTCGTGTGGTCGGTTGGGTCGGCCCTCTGCGTGTGTATCCATTCAGTAACCTCCGTAGGCTCCGCATGAACATCCAGCTGTATGTGTGTGTGTGTGTGTGCAGCTTCGTGGTAGTCTTGCGCCACTTGTCTTGTATCCTGTCCCTACCACGAGACGCACCTGATCCTTCTTCTCCTCCTCCTTCTCCTCCTCCACCTTCTCTGGCGACTGATATTACAGGGCTGGCCTGGACAACATGCTTCATAAACCACCCTTCGGGTGAGAAAGAGGCAGAGGGTGAGGAATGTACATTCCGATGTGTGCTTCGAATTAGATGTCAATGTGGATTTCAATGTGGATTTTGATATGGATTTCAATGCGAAATTCATTGTGTCTTGCATTTGTATAGCTCTTCGGTTTGCGTACTTATCAGTTTGTACTGTGATTGCAACTGGGTGTTTATGTCGCAATGACTATCGATGTGAGATGGGCTTGAATTTCGATCTGCATGCTGGTTGCATTTGGGTTTGTAGTTCGATGTATAGTTTGTTTGCAATTGGATGGGTGTTGTGATTATGAAGTTGCAGCTGTTTTGTTCGCATTGTATGTGTACTTGCGTGCCACACAACCACGAGACAAACATGGAAGAACCACGAGACAACCCGTGGGATAACTCGTGGGACAATCCCGCGGGATCCCGCACGGCAGACGACTTGGCTCCAACCGCGGCCGACACATCCCCGCCTTCGCGTTAAGTCGGGCATGTCCTTCAACCGGAGGAGTGTTCCAACATAGTTAAAAATAGTCTGAGGACGATTCGTTGTCCAGTTTTGAAGATTATTGGGGGCATTTTTTTGAATCTGTTTAATTTTTCGTCCGAAATCCCCCTGTAGGGAGACAGGCCCAACCTAGCCTTCGCGCGGGCACACGCGGAGCGAAGCGAAGCCGAAACAGATGTCCCGCTTATAGGCCGCTGCGTTCCACCCCTCCAAGCGGGGAAAACCACCACGACCTCCATACTTGGCGTTTACTAAGAGGCCCTGGGCGTTGACTAAACAGTCAAACAGTCCTGCCTTGTTCGATTCCTCATGTGTGTTTGCTAGACGGCTTCGCTTGTCGGGGTGCTCATGATGAGGGTGTTTTTTTTCTGCTCTTTACCCCCCCCACCCACTTCTGGCATGTCTTTGTGCAGCATCCCAGTTGTCAAGCCAACACGCGCGTTTGCAGACTTGTTGCTGTATTCCAGTTCAAGTTCAACTGAGTCCGATCTTCCTCCTAATACCCCTTCCCCCTGTATCCGTCTGCTCCTCCCGATCCAGCTCCTGCTGCTCCTCCCCAGTCTTCGGACATTGTCTGTCGGCTGACCGCGTGCGCCCGTCGTGAGCTCGAGCATTACAGCCAGAAGTCCGCATCCGGAAGCAAAGTTTTGGGCCTCGAGTGAATGAGCGCGCTCGGGGACATTTGAACCAGTACCTCGAACAACTCGGGCTGCCATCATCACGTAGACTGGTAAGACCGGCACCTGCTGCGCCTCGTGCTGCTAATGCTCCTCTTATTGCCTCTCCTCTCCTCCTGTATCGTCCTGCTCTGGATCCTGCTTCTTCTGCTCCTTTTCTTCATCGCGCTTCCACCTTGCACTTCCCCTGACTCCCTTGGACACGTCGCATTGTCGGCATTTTGCCTTTTCCCCTCTGGTCAATTTTTACCCATATCGATCCTGATCGCTTGTCCTGGCTCCTCCATTTCGTCCCCGATCCTCCTCTTCTAGGCCCTTTGGGGCCTCCCTCGTTGCCAGGACTGGGAACGGCTCGGAATACGGGCTAGGATGGTGTCTGGGAAAGCTGTGTTGACGTGGCTGGGGTGATTCTGGCCAGAGAGAGAATGAGAGAGAGAGAGAGACAAGGAGAGAGAGAGAGAGAGAGAGAGAGAGAGAGAAAGAAAAAAAGGCAGAAAGAAAGAGGGGGTGGGAGGGAGAGAGGGAGAGGGAAAGTGATACCGTTAAAGACCACCCTTCGGATGACGAGGAGGTTTGGGAGGAGGATTACATAATATTTGTGATGCACTGGACGAACAATTCAACTCACAAGTGGGCACACGTCCGAGCAACATTGGTTTGTGTATCCATATATTTGTCTACATGTTCGTCTATATGTTTACATGCCTAGGTGTTTCACGTGTTTTGTTGCACATGTGTATCTATCTATACATATGAGTTGTTTTTGTACTGGTGAGCAATGATGGTTTTCATAGTTTTTGTTGTAGTTTTCACATTGCTGCCCATCCGGTATTCATAATTCATACGTTTGCTGCCGTTACAAAGGTCCCCATGTATGTTTATTGGTTTATTTTGCTCTGCAGGGGTATCTTTTATTCCAGGCCCGGCAGGGTGCAATTTAAACAAGGTGTATTGCCACCTAGGGCGCGTTATGTCTGTTTTTGTTCTCGCCCGCAGGGAGCTCTTTTCCCATTCCAGCCTTGCAGAGCATATGTTGCTGCTGCTGTCGCTTCGCAGGGTGTTGTTTTGTTTCCATTGCATGTGGTAACATGTTTGGATGGGTGCAATGGACTCGCATAACCAACCGTTTTGCTACTGTAGCCTCGCGGAACACAACTTTTGGCATCATGGTCTGGCAGAGAACTCGATACAACCATCGGGACAACCATCGGGACATCGGGACAATCTTCTGGACAATTTGCACACCACGGCCCGTATATGGGCTCTCGTGTTTTGCTGGTTAAGCCCTGGCTCGAAATCGCGCAGCTTCGCCTCGCCTCGCTCGCACGCACGAGACGACACGATCTCGCGGGTCTCAGATCCTCACGTTTCACTTCCGTCTTATCCCCAATCTTCCGATCTAATATAGGTCGGAGGTTGGGGGTGAGATCGAAGTGGAACGGAGAGCCCCCCACCGGGAAATCGGTTTCGGTTTCGTGTTCGTGCGTGCCGTGCGTGCGGGCGAGGCGAAGCTGCGTGGGCGGGCGAGAGGAAAGTCTCCTGTGGCTGAAGCGCGGCCAGACCAAATGATTCTCCCTCCAGCAAGCGGTGGCCCGCGGTGTCCCGCCGGTGTCCCGCCGGTGTCCCGCTTGTGGCTGGGCCCTGGCCGGACCAAATGATTCTCCCTCCGGCAAGCGGTGGCCTGCGGTGTCCCGCCGGTGTCCCGCCGGTCTCCCGCTGGTGTCCCGGTGTCCCGCTGGTGCGAAAACGATAGTGAGAACGATGACAAAATCGATAGTGAGATCGATAGTGAGATCGATAGTGAGACCGATAGTGAGATCGATCGTGAGATCGATAGTGAGGTCGATAGTGAGATGAATCGTGATATCGATTGTGAGATCGAGTGATGTCGATAGGGAGATCGTTAGTGGGATCGATAGCGAGATCCAAAGTGAGATCGACAGTGAAATCGATCGAGTGAGATCGATTGTGAGATCGATCGAGTGAGATCGATAGTTGGATCCATGGTCCCATCGATCGTGAGACCGATAACGACATCGCTTGTGAGAGTTATATAGAAAAATCGATAGTGATATCGATGGTGAGATCGATCGTGAGATCGATAACGACATCGCTTGTGAGATCGATAGAGAGATCGAGAATTATACCAAGGCGCCCAAGAGCGAAGGATGACGTAAACAACTCGACACCAAGGCTCCCAAGAGCGAGCGGCAACGCAACAATCACCACTGTTGCCCATTGCTGGCCCCCCTCCCCCCAAACCTCCTTATCACCCGCAGGGTGGTCGTATAGGTAGAGGAAGGGAGGGAGAGAGAGAGAGAGAGAAAGACAGGGAGAGAGCGAGAGAGAGAGAGAGAGAGAGAGCGAGGTAGAAACATATAGGATGGTGATGGTCATGAGGAGGAGCAGAAAGAGGAGGAGGAGGAGGAGGGAAGAGGCGGCGGAGGAGAAGGAAGTGGAGTTGGAGGAGGATCGGTGGGAGGAGTAAGAGGAAGCTGGGGAGGAGCAGGAGGAGGATGAAGGGCGGCATACATGTACATATATATATATATATACACACACCTATACGACCACCCTGCGGGTGATCAGGAGGTTGGGGGGGAGGGGGGCCAGCAATGGGCAACAGTGGTGTTTGTTGCGTTGCCGCTCGCTCTTGGGACCATGGATCCCACTATCGATCTCACTCGATCGATCTCACAATCGATCTCACTCGATCGATTTCACTGTCGATCTCACTCTGGATCTCGCTATCGATCTCACGATCGATCTCCCTATCGATATCACTCGATCTCACAATCGATATCACTACTCATCTCACTATCGATCTCACTATCGATCTCACGATCGATCTCACTATCGGTCTCACTATCGATCTCACCATCGATCTCACAATCGATCGCGTCATCGGTCTCACTATCGTTTTCGCACCAGCGGGAAACCGGGACCCCAGCGGGACATCGGCGGGACACCGGCGGGACACCGCGGGCCACCGCTTGCCGGAGGGAGAATCAATTGGTCCGGCCGGGACCCAGCCACAAGCGGGACACCGGCGGGACACCGGCGGGACACCGCGGGCCACCGCTTGCCGGAGGGAGAATCATTTGGTCCGGCCGGGGCCCAGCCACAAGCGGGACACCGGCGGGACACTGGCGGGACACCGCGGGCCACCGTTTGGTGGAGGGAGAATCATTTGGTCCAGTCGCGCTTCAGCCACAGGAGACTTTCCTCTCGCCCGCCCACGCAGCTTCGCCTCGCCCGCACGCACGGCACGCACGAAAACGAAACCGAAATCGATTCCCGGTGGGGGGTTCTCCGTTCCACTTCGATCTCACCCCCCAGCCTTCGATATATATCTATATATATAGAGAGAGAGAGAGAAAAAAAATAGATATGCATACAC